GCCCTCAGCAGCGCCCTTCTTCCCACACGACCGCACGTGCACAGCACCTTGCCCCTAGTGCTAGCAGCAGCGCGTGAGCGTCCTCTCCAGCAGCACTGCCGCAAACTGTGCCTGAATGAGCCTCCAGGCAGCGAGCGCTTTCCTATATGGAAAGAGTCTGCCTGGCCTTCGACCTGGCTGGGGCTGGGCCTGCGCCCAGAAGCTTCCGGTAGACCCCAGGTTGCTGGGCCTGTGGTGATGCTGCTGGGCCTCGTTCAGTTACTCCTCCCAACTGTCTGTGTCTACTGCTGCAAATGTGGCCCAGAGCCTGCACCTCAGAAAAAGGCCTAGAAGGCCGTGAAAAATCTTTGCTGCTCGGGTTCTGGGTTCCGTGAACCAACTGGCGCGACACAACTGCCTGAAACCTCAAATACGAAATTGACAGCATTGGGCCTCGTGATTTGTTAGGGCGGGCATACTTGTACCATGGGGCCCCTTAGGCCTGCCGAGGAGCCTTATCCTCGCATTAGCGGTGAACTTAAATTATGTTGTCGCCACTGGAGCATCAAACAACTTCTTTTACTTTTTTTTTTTACTTTCGGACCGCTTCTCGGTTTATGTGTGTCATCCCTGTAATGCTTGGTGCTTCCACCTCGCCCGTGGGGCGAATTCTTCCTTGGCCATTTTTAATAACCATTTGTGCATCACAGATGACAGATTATTAAGTTGTTGCCATCATAACCATTCGCACATCACAGATGACAGATTATTATGTTGTTGCCACCGTAGCATCAAATGTCTTTTCTTTATTAAAAAAAAAAAAATCGGACCATTTGTTGATTTATGCGTGTGATCCTTGTGCAGGGCCCATGCTAATCTTCTCTCTATCATTCCAATTTTAACGGATGTCCCTTTCCTTGTGTTTGCAACTTTGCGCATTATGTCCCAGGAGGTTTTGCAAAATCCCTCGCTCAATCTGGTCACCGCTTTCGGAAAGGTTGCCCATGTTCTCTGATGCTAAAATTCTTCTCTAGTTTGTTGCCATATTCACCCCACCGTCTCTTCAATGTTGTTGTTTTTTTTCACAGCGAATTGTTGATCCTTAAAAAGCTTCTGCTGAGTATTATTATCAAAATTGAAAGATAATTGCCAGGCTATTTGTGTATGACAGAAACCCACATAGGAGGGCGTTTTACAAAATTACTGAGCTAACTATTGCTACTGACAAAGATGTCGAAGTAAGGACATTGGCAATCCGTGAAATTCGTTTTTTTTTTTTTTATTATTATTATTTAAACAGGGCCTTATGGTCCTGGCTCCTTCTATTCTGGGGAGCGTCAGTCCGGTTCCTATTCCACCGGCAAGTCCGAAAAATCCGAATATACATTACATTGAAACTCACGCACGCTTCCTTCCGTTTGGCCGAAGGACCCCTGAACAGCACTGATTGCTCCACCTTGGTGGGAGGATTGACTGTCAGCTTGCCATGTCCCTCTCTTTCCTCTCAGATCTGGAGGCCAGATCTGCCATCAATCGGTGAGAATGAGGTCCTTCCGTGCATCGTTTTCTTAATGCGGGTGAAATCCTTCCTAACGGGGTCTTGTAAACGCTGTGGGTCCTCTAGTCCTGTTTCTATCATGACCTCAGCTATAGGGTGATATTCTGACTCGTCTGGATACCTTAATCTTGCTGGGATATTCTGTCTAACAAAGGGTCTGGTATAGCATTCCAGTCGCCTACGGATAGCAGATGTCTGCAAGTGGGGCATTCCTGTTTGATCCTTCTGAGCATCTCCCACCGCTGGTCCGTCGTGTTAGGTAGATAGTAGATACACATGAATCAGTATGGTTTTCTGAACTTTTCTCTTGCCTCTAGAGTCAAGACCGAATCGAAGCTTATCCCTCGTCCCCTCTCGTGGTCTAGTAGAACTTGGTCAAATATTAATTGCGTGTACTGCTGGACCTCTGTCATGTATGAGAATTAAAAGCCCCGTGCGGGGGGGGGGGGGGTTGGGGACGGGGCCCATATAGCCTCTCTTAGTCGGTTCTTAGTCGGCGAATTATTGCGTTCTGAGTCACTCTGTGACTATGACAGTCTGCCAGCGTAGAAAAGACGAGTTTCTTGAAGTCTGACTTTTTATGGCTTTTATTTGTTTGTTTCTTATTTTCATTTGTTAATCTTCAGTTTATTCAATTCAGGTTTCTTAGTACTATGCTGCCACATGAGCAACGGAATTCGACATTTACGGTTGGATGGTTAGGATAATGGACTGGATAGGTGAAGCCGGTCCCATTCCGGGCCATACATTACCGTCCACGTCTCAAGCAGGTGGCAGCCGTATACGTGGATGGTAAGCCGTGGCTGAATTCGTGCTGGATGTCAATAGCGAGCCCGAGGCTCGAGAATACGTGCGGCAATGGGCTGCCTAACATATGGTGGGTGCATACGTGGACTGTAAGCCATGGCTGAATTCGTGCTAGATGTCAATAGCGAACCGATACTTGAGAATCCACGCGACTATATAGCCTATAATATACTCCGTCTGGTGGGATGTTGTCGAACCAGTGAATGGCCGATGCGAAGCTAAACCATTTTTGTGGTGAGGATAGGACTGTGTCTAGGCCATGAGCATTCTCCTCTTGCCTTACTTCTGCCACTGCTTAGGTCTCTTCTACCCTCATGTCTATTCACGGTTGCGATAGGACTGTGTCTAGACCATGAACATTCTCCTCTTGCCTTACTTCTGCCATTGCTTAGGTCTCTTCTACCCTCACGTCTATTCACGGTTGCTGGGGTTGCTGGGTTTTACAACTGAAAAAGATTAAGTTGGATATGTTTTTGATTCCATGTTTAGCATTCTAATCAAACAGTGGAATCAACCAAATCAACTCAAATCGCATCATATCACATCAAGAGCTGGCGCGCCAAGATGTCCAAGAACACACGTTTACTCCATATTAGAGTCCTTAGTCAAGATAGAACACTTCTCTCCTAGCGAAAAAAAATTCCATACGAGATCAAACATGTTTTCACCCGGACGTGTTTTGTACCTTCACTGTTCGGGTCTCGTTTGGGGGGTATTCTTTGCCTTGTATGTGGCCTCATGGCCCCAACTCTCCTTCCACAATCCAGAGCTGGGCCCTAACAGATTCTGCTCTTATGTCCAATCTTGTTCCTCTCTGGGTACATCAATGCTGCTGGGACTCTCCACCCTTTTCTCAGCACACGTCTGAACCGCCTGCTGCCTGATGATCTTCCGCTTCAGGCTGGAAAACCCGAGAGATCGATTCCTTGGATGTTTATGGAAAGGGCGTGGAATCGCTGATCGCTTGCCGTCTGTGCAACGTTGCACGTTGTTTTTTTCTTACGGACATCCTCACATCCGTACTTCCCTCCTGATAGCCAGCAAGGGCATGGTACAACCCCAGTCGTGCATCGAATGAGTGCAAATGAGAGGTAACGTCATCATGGATGCAGCCAAATGATCCACCGCCCAGGTCCGGCGTAGAGGCTTGCTTGCCCGCGCACCGGTATCTGTTTGCACTGCCAAGAGAGTGTCTCCATAGGCCGGACTTGCCGAGTGATTCCACAAGCGATTCTCAACGAGTCGGAATTGTTCTTCAAGTGTGCAAACCGACACAAGAAGGTCGTCCATGATACGAGCGCGGTATATCACCCTTGGCCTACGGATGCCACATGGGAGACTTCATCAAGATAAAACGTCAAAGGGTTTGTGCCACCGCGACCAATGACTTTCCAGATGTCACTGTATCTAATCTCCACCAAAGCGGAGGAGGAATAAATCATAGCTTCCTTGATTATGTTAGCGATGATGCCACTCGTCTCTTTCCAGCACCTGTGCCAACAAGCCAGTGCTGGCCTCAGTTTGATGCTGGCTCGCTGGCTCGCATTGTGGACAACCTATAGTTGCCTGCTGGATCGACCCGCTAGTCATGTCAACACCCACCAACTAGAGGCCCCTGGACCACTAGCAGTGCAAAACTGGTCCTGGCAGCGATGTTGGAAAGCAAAAGATCTGTTGTAGGCTCCTCCCCCACAGGAGATGGGTAGATGAAATACCCTTGCTGGACTCTCCGTGATCCAGGTAGATGTCCGTTCAGGTCCCCAGAACGTACCACTTCACCGACTTCAGTACAGTTGACACATCTCCAATCCATGCAGGATTGCTACCGAGGGCGTCTTTTTGCAGAGATTGAAGTGAACATAGCCTTCCTGTGAACTTGATGCTCTACCTCAACCATAGCCAACTGAAAAATACATATTTGCATCTTCTGTGGTCGTTGCCTTGCCTTGTATTTGATGGCATGAATACTCTCCTCTCCTGGCAAGCGTGATAGGTACGTCTAATGGGTTGGTTGGCTTTTTAATCGCCATCCTTTTGTGCATACTGAAGATAAAAATCCTCCTCTTGACCTGGTGTTTGCAGCCAAAGGCAGGACGCAAAAGCAGGGGCGCTGGTGTGACCTTGGATGTCGCAACACCGACCCATGCAGTACATGATCAGGCCAAAGCTCCAGGGGCTGCTGCCTCTTCTCCTGTGGACCTGTGTAGCGACGACGATGCTCAAGAAACAGTTGCTGCAGGAAGCCCAAGACGAAAGGCACAGAAGACGAAAGGTTCAACTGGCAAAACTGATGCAGAAAAGAGAGAGGGTACACCGAACCCCTCTCAGAAAAAGAAAGAGGTGGATTGGAGTTCTCCTGGTCTCATAAGAAGCAGAAGAGGGGCTTTTCAGAAGGAACACCTAGATCCCGAACTCCCTGCTCAAGAGGAGAAGGAAGGTGTGGCCATGTTGGGTATTCATCATCCGGAGGGAAATGTGAATAGTGCTGCTGGAGGCGGCACCGGAGGAAAGAATGCAGGGGCGTTAGCACAGAGAAAGGGCAAGCTAGGCGATTCAGGTAAGGTAGATGAAGGTGAGATGACAGGTCCCGGCACCAGGAAGAGAGCTGTGGCAGCAGCTGGAATTAATTATGCGCAGTTGGCAGCTGGAAAGAGTGTGGCTCATTTACGAAACCGCGACAAAAAATGATATGCTGAGTACGGCTTTCGTCGCTTGGACGGGGGGCGCCGGGGGGGAGGCGGGAGGGGGGAGAAGGGGGCGGGTTCCATGTGGAAGATGCCTGCATAGTGATTTGCGATTCCAAGATGCAAGTAAAGCTCACGATGGCTGCCGCCTGTCTTAGCATGTTGCTGAGGGAACTCTCTTGCAATTCAATCGCAGATCATGACTCAGGTCAGGCACCATGAATCTCGTAACCAGGGCCTCATCCTTTGGACCACAGAGTCCTCTGTGAAGAGTTGATACGGGGGACTGGCTTCCATAGGGAACTGTCAGTGATTCATAGAATCTTCAGTCATGGCTTACTCTCCTGTTTGACTGTCTTTAACTCTCCACCCCATCCTGCTCCTCCTTCTTTCTCTCTCTCTCTCTCTCTCTCTCTCTCTCTCTCTCTCTCTCTCTCTCTCTCTCTCTCTCTCTCTCTCTCTCTCTCTCTCTCT